AGAGAGAGAGAGAGAGAGAGAGAGAGAGAGAGAGAGAGAGAGAGAGAGAGAGAGAGAGAGAGAGAGAGAGAGAGGATGATGCATTTGTGCTGTCCCCTCTTCAAAATCTCCATTTGGTTGGCTGGGAAGTCTTTCTGCTTTTTACATTTCTTCCACACTATCACCTACATCTGGCGTCGCATCCACTTCCACACATGCCGTTCTGGCAAGAGTAATTGGGCCATTGTGCAGCACAGCTGGTAGCCAGAGTTCCACTTTTGTCCCATTCATTTCTGCTGGAGCTGTCCCTTGAAGAAAAGGTGAGTCCACTCTCAGAACCCCTCCCATACCCTCCACTAAATCTTTGGCAATGGCCAACCCGATGGCTGGCAGTGGTCTTGTCGTGCCCTCATCTGTGGTTAGGTGAGTTCTAAGCTTATCTGTCGATGCAGCTGCAAACCCCGATGTTGACATCGACTTTGAGTGACCAGACAGTCTTCCCACTGTATATGCCTGTGTCTGCAGATTAGACAGGGCAGAAACCAGTTACAGCGATATCCAGTCATCAGCTATTTTAATTTTTAATGGATCAGATCAGCGCATTATAAAAATATCCAAAACCAAACAGGATAGACATCCCCTTTTCAATGTCGGATGTACAGCATCATCAAGATCTGGCATGTACTGCTCCCAGTGATAAGAAGAATCTCCTATGGGTGTTGTCTCTCATCAATTGCCTCTTTAGACTGCCAGCCCATGTTTATTGACTGCGCTTCCCAGGGATGCACCACAGCCAACTGATCTGAAGCGAAAAGCGATGACTTAGACTCTGGACCAAGGTCCAGTCCTGCAGGGTTGAGCAGCACCAACCAATCATTATCCACCTCCACTGCCTACACTCCCTCCACTCCCTACACTCCATTCCCCTCCTTCCCCTCCTTCCCCTCCTTCCCCCCCTTCTCTTTTCCCATCACCTCCTCATCCATCTTCCATTCCTCATACTTCCCATCCTACTTCCTGTCCTTCCCATCCTACTTCCTGTCCTTCCCGTCCTCCCCGTCCTCCCCCACCTTTCCCTTCTTTCCCCCCTCCCCCTTCTCTTGCTCTTTTATTCTCCATCCTGACCCCTCCCTATCTCCTCCACTTCTTGCGCCTCATCCACCTCGATCTCCAGCACCTTGTCCACCTCCTCTGCGTCCTCCCTCTTTTTTCCATCTCCTCCACCTCTTGCACCTCATCCACCTTGACCTCCTGTACCTCGGCCATCATCCCCTTTTTCCTTACTCCCCTTACTTCCTTTCCTCCCCCTCTTGGCCCCTTCCATATCTCCTCCACCTCTTGCACCTCATCCACCTCGACCTCCTGCACCTTGTCCACCTCTGTCCTCCCCTTCCTCCCCTTCCTCCACCTCTGTGCTCCCCTTCCTCCCCTTCCTCCACCTCCTCCACCTCCTCCACCTTCTTCCCCTGTTCCCTCTCCTCCCCTCCTCCCCTCCTCCCCTCCTCCCCTTCCTCTCCTCCCCCTCATTCCCCTTCTCCACCTAATCTACCTCCTCCACCTCCTCCACCTCCTCCACCTCCTCCACCTCCTCTACATCCACCATCTCCTCCACATCCACCATCTCCTCCACATCACTGGCTCCTACCCATCCCTTACCCCTTGCAGAGATCCTACAGGTCTATCATCAACTCCATTTTTTTTAGACTTCCTCCTTACTGTCTTTCTTTCGTTTCTTGCATTTCTATCTTTGCCTGCTAGCTACAGGCACCCCACCCTCTCTCGTCTTCACAAACCCTAATGGCTGGCTACCTCCTACCACAAACCCTATGCCTCCTCTGCTGGCAGAATGGGCACCCACGTGAACCTCCCCTGGATCGGATGAAGCTGCCCCATCCCCACCCTGACACCTGCCTTTGCGAGGGTGACAGGGCTGAGGGTGGTGGAAGGTGCATGGGGGTGAAGCACAAGGCTGTGCACTTTTAGAGGGCGGCTCAACAGGAAATTTGGGACTTAACTAAGAGCCTTCAGATGTAGATAATGAGGACGTCGGATGACAATCTCTCCATGTATGCAGCGTATTTCGATTACTAGAGATGTTAAGAAGGAATAAGGCATGTCCTTCGGGACATCCATTAAAATTGGAACGATACAGAGAAGATTAGCATGGCCCCTGCGCAAGGATGACACACATAAATCGAGAAATGGTCCAAATTAAAAAAAGAAAAAAAAAAGAAAAAA